TGTGAATTTGATACTGTCATTTTGATGCTACCTGGCTGTTTTGTTGGTTAGTTGATGCAGATTCTTGATTGTGTTGATGCTCTTTTACCATTTGGTGTGTTTTTGGAGTGGCTGGTACAGGTTGTTCCTTTATATGTGTAGAGCCTCTTTCAGGAGTTCTTGTAGGGCAGGTTTGGTGGTGATGAAATCTCTGAGTGCTTGCTTGTTCACAAAGGATTTTATTTTTCCATCACTTATGAAGCTTAGTTTGGCTGGATAGGAGATTCTGGGTTGAAAGTTCTTTTCTTTAAGGATGTTGAATATTGGCCCCCACTCTCTTCTGGCTTGTAGGGTTTCTGCTGAGAGATCTGCTGTGAGTCTAATGGGCTTCCCTTTGTGGGTAACCCGACCTTTCTCTCTGGCTGCCCTTAGCATTTTCTCTTTCGTTTCAACCCTGGTGAATCTGACGATTATGTGCCTTGGGGTTGCTCTTCTTGAGGAATATCTTTGTGGTGTTCTCTGTATTTCCTGGATTTGAATATTGGTCTGCCTTGCTAGGTTGGGGAAGTTTTCCTGGATAATATCCTGAAGAGTATTTTCCAGCTTGGATTCATTCTCTTCATCACATTCAGGTACACCTATCAGACGTAGATTAGGTCTTTTCACATAGTCCCACATTTCTTGAAGATTTTGTTCATTCCTTTTTGTTCTTTTTTCTCTGTTCTTGCCTTCTCTTTTTATTTCATTGAGTTGATCTTCGACCTCTGATATCCTTTCTTCTGCTTGGTCAATTCGGCTGTTGAAGCTTGTGCATGCTTCACGAAGTTCTCGTGTTGCGTTTTTCAGCTCCATCAATTCACTTATACTCCTCTCTATGCTGTCCATTCTCGTCAGCAGTTCGTCCAGTCTTTTTTCAAGGTTCCTCTTTTCTTTGTGTTTGGTTAGAACATGTTCTTTTAGCTCACTGTAGTTTCTTACTACTCACCTTCTGAAGTCTGATTCTGTCATTTCATCACCCTCCTTCTCCATCCAGTCTGGTTCCCTTGCTGGTGAGGAGTTGTGATCCCTTTTAGGAGGAGAGGTGTTCTGGTTTCGGGAGTTTTCATCCTTTTTACGCTGGTTTCTTCCCATTTTTGTGGGTTTATCCACCTGTTGTCTGTCTCTGTCCCAGGGAGTTGGAGCTTTATGAGTTTCCGTTGCACTACTGCCTTTTTTGATTTTTCTTTCAGGGGTGACCCGCCCAGCTAGCAGCATGCCTAACCACTGCCTGCCTGCAGGGGCTTTGCTGAGCTGCTGTGGGCTCCGCCCAGCTGCCCTGAGCCCTTTTTATATGGGCGTAGTTAGAACTGTCTTGGCAATGGTGGCCCCGCCTCTGTTACGGGGACTCTCTCTGTTGTGGCAGGTTGCCTCGGCAACGGCGGGTTGCCTCGGCAACGGCAGCCTGCCTCCTAGTGGTGGAGAGTCTCAGTAATGGCGGAAGCCCCTCCCCCACCGAGCCGGACCGTCCCGGTTCAGCTGTGCTTGGTTTGGAGGGCTCAGCCCAGAGGGTTTCCAATTACTGTTTTTGTTTTCGTTGTTGTTGGGGGTGGAGGGGTGGGACCAACCGAGCCTGATCACCTGGCTCCCTGACTCAGAGTCTTTTCTTTTAAGTTGAACGACCCCGCGTTCCGGTCCCTTGTTGAAAAGGCGCCGGGATCTCCCGTGCTGCGACTCACGGAGTCGGCTCGAACTGCGGCGTCGGCTCCTGGCGGATTTTTTGCCTAGGAATCTCCTGGCCTGACTCGCTATTTCAGATGAGTGGGCAACTCTGCCGTCTCAGGGCTCTGCTCGCCAGCTAAGAGGGCTCCCAGATCAGTGGCTTTTGTACGGAGAACCGCAGCAACAGGGCGTGGTCACAGCAGCCGCGCGGGCGGAATCAGCCCTGCGGGGGCCAAAACAGCCGCACCGGCTGGGACTGCAACGCTGGCGACCCCTCTGCCTGGGTATCTCCTGGTCTGTGGGCAATAAGAGTTCATCTGGAAATGCGGCGTCCACTCACCCTCTGCACTTTCACTGGGAGCTGAAGTCCTGAGCTGTTCTTAGGCGGCCATCTTCCCAGCATTCTCCCACAAAAACTTTTTTTCAGTATTTTGGCTTATAATTTGGGGAGATACAGTTTTTATTGATGGTAAGCATAAAGCAGATTGGTGGAAAAGGTGAAAGTGAAAGGCAAATCAAAGAGGAAGAACATAGTAAATCAAAGGAATAAAGTGAGCAGGTTCCTCAGCATATAATAAGAAAGGAGGGAGGAATGAAAGGAACTGCTACAACTTCTGTGCTGCTTGAATCGGGTGGCCAAGCAGGCTTGCTGAAGAAGACAGCAAGAGACCTGCTTCCCTCTGTCCACATTGTCCAATCACTTAAGCCTTGTTACTTTTAATAATAACCAATTTGGTTTTACTAATATAGATTGTCTATATATCACTTGTTTCATTACTGTTTTGTTGCCAAGTAGCATAGGTCTGGAACCTTAAGAGTCTTGCAAGTACATAACAAACACAATTACTTAATTGATCAGAAGCCATACCAAGATTCCAGTGGTTGTGGTTTGGCCAAGCAGCTTGCATGTGTTTAGTCATTTTAAAAAGAAAATGTGTGTGTTTGTGTGGCTAATGTCGTCATTAAGAAATAAAAATAGGCCGGGCGCGGTGGCTCAAGCCTATAATCCCAGCACTTTGGGAGGCCGAGGCAGGTGGATCACGAGGTCAAGAGATCGAGACCATCCTGGTCAACATGGTGAAACCCCGTCTCTACTAAAGGTGCAAAAAATTAGCTGGGCATGGTGGTGCGTGCCTGTAATCCCAGCTACTCAGGAGGCTGAGGCAGGAGAATTGCCTGAACCCCGAAGGCGGAGGTTGCAATGAGCCGAGATCGCGCCATTGCACTCCAGCCTGGGTAACAAGAGTGAAACTCCATCTCAAAAAAAAATAAATAAATAAAAATAAAAATATCTTTGATTTCCTATTCTTAAAACAGATCAATTTGGAGTAACAAGTTTGCTTGAGTTCATGTTGTTAGAATATTGCAACTTGTATTACAAATAAAAATTTCTAAAACTGTATGCTGATACTGTCCTGATTATATGCATTCGAAAAAAAGTCTTCATTTAATAAGTCATGTTTTACCTAAAATAATGAGTATGTATAGTAAAGCACCAATTTGACAAATGTAGTTACTCAATAAGCACTAATTGGTTTGATCCTCAAATCTTAAAGCAATTGTTCTAAATTGAGGATCTATGCTAACTAGGAATGCCATGTAGTAAATAATAAACAGAATACTTATAAAAAGGATATTTCCCAAGGAATTTTAATTAAAGAACAAATTGATATTTTAGGATACTTTGTACTTTAAATAATTTGTATTTCTAACATTATTTCTTTTTTTTTTTTTGGAGACGGAGTTTCTCTCTTGTTACCCAGGCTGGAGTGCAATGGCGCGATCTCGGCCCACCGCACCCTCCGCCTCCTGGGTTCAAGCAATTCTCCTGCCTCAGTCTCCTGAGTAGCTGGTACTACAGGCGTGCACCACCATGGTCGGCTAATTTTTTTGTATTTTTAGTAGAGACAGGGTTTCACCATGTTGACCAGGATGGTCTCGATCTCTTGACCTCGTGATGCACCCGCCTCGGCCTCCCAAAGGGCTGGGATTATAGGCATGAGCCACTGTGTCCGGCTTCTAACATTATTTCTAAGTAAAAGATGCCAAAATAAATTTCCAAAGATCTAGAATAGAACAGTTTGAGAATTAGGTCTATTCTAAAACTACAGTGCTTGTCATGGATAATACACTGTTTGTATTCTATGGGAGGGAAGTGCTAAGTAGGTGATTGAGGACAAATTTGAGTGGTGACTTTTCTTAGATGTATAGTCTATGTCTGGTATCTTTGAGAAAAAGTTTTAAATAATAGTGGTCACCACTTTTATATGGCACTTACTGCTATATGCCAGGAACTTCCTTAAGTCTCTGGTTTTTTGTTTTTGTTTCTGTTTTTTCATTAATCCTCACTATTGCCTTATCTATGATGTGACAATGATTTTTGTAAATAAAGAAATTTAGGCACAGAGGGGCTAAATAACTTACTGCAGATCACTGTATAAACCATAAATATCAAACCTGGGATTTGAACCCAGGGATTCTGGCTTACACTGTATTGTCTCTCAATAATGAGACTACATACCAAATTACTGAAGTCAGCTACTATAAAAAGAATTAAATGAAACTGACAGTTTCTCTATTATTGAACTGGCATTGTTGTCTGGGGTAAATGCCCAAGGTTCATAGCCTTGTGCCAAGAAGATTAAGGACATGGACACACATAAGGAATGAGTTTGGGAGCAGAGGTTTAATAGGCAAAAGAAAGAGGAAGGAGGGGCCGGGCACCATGGCTTAAGCCTGTAATCCCAGCACTTTGGGAGGCCGAGGTGGGTGGATCATGAGGTCAAGAGATTGAGACCATCCTGGTCAACATGGTGAAACCCCGTCTCTACTAAAAATACAAAAAAATTAGCTGGGCGTGGTGGCACGTGCCTGTAATCCCAGCTACTCAGGAGGCTGAAGCAGGAGAATTGCCTGAACCCAGGAGGCGGAGGTTGCGGTAAGCCGAGATCGCACCATTGCACTCCAGCCTGGGTAACAAGAGCGAAACTCTGTCTCAAAAAAAAAAAGCCGGGCGCGGTGGCTCAAGCCTGTAATCCCAGCACTTTGGGAGGCTGAGGCGGGTGGATCACGAGGTCAAGAGATCGAGACCATCCTGGTCAACATGGTGAAACCCCGTCTCTACTAAAAATACAAAAAAAAAAACTAGCTGGGCGTGGTGGCGCGTGCCTGTAATCCCAGCTACTCAGGAGGCTGAGGCAGGAGAATTGCCTGAGCCCAGGAGGCGGAGGTTGCGGTGAGCCGAGATCGCGCCATTGCACTCCAGCCTGGGTAACAAGAGCGAAACTCCGTCTCAAAAAAAAAAAAAAAAAAAAAAAAAAAAGAAAAAGAAAAAAGGAGCGTGACCTGAGCGCGAGAGGCCAATGGAGTGCGGGAGCTGAAAGAGTCTTCGCAGACAGCCGAGACGGGGGTTTCACCATGTTGCCCAGGCTGGTCTTGAACTCCTGACCTCAGGCGATCCAGCTACCTCAAAGTGTCAGGATTACAGGGACAGTACTGCTTTTAAAGGGACAGTACTGCTTTTAAAGGGACAGTGTTAGGAACCTCAGAAGCACAGCCAACATGTGTGACATTGAAGAAGCCACTAACCAACTCCTAGATGTGAACCTTCATGAGAACCAGAGGTTCATTGTCTGAGATCAGTCGATAACTTATTTGTGGTGGTTCAGGAGTTCCAAGATTACCAGTTCAAAAAAACAAAGGAAGAAGTTCTAAAGGATTTTGAAGACTTGGCTGGAAAACTTCCATGGTCAAACCCCTTAAAAGTGTGGAAAATTAATGACAGTTTTAAAAAGAAAAAAGCAAAGCGCAAAAAGATAAATCAGAATTCAAGTAAAGGGAAGATTAATAATGGACAAGAAGTCAAAATCGATCAGAGAAATGATAAAAAAGACTTCACTAGCCATGCTTTAGATTCTCATATCTTAGATTATTATGAAAATCCAGCCATCAGAGAGGAGGTATCAACATTAGTAGGTGATGATTTGGCATCTTGCAAAGATGAGACTGATGAAAGCTCAAAAGAAGAAACTGAACCTCAAGTGCTAAAGTTTAGAGTCACATGCAACAGGGCAGGAGATAAACATTGCTTTACTTCAAATGAGGCTGCAAGAGATTTTGGGGGTGCTGTTCAAGATTATTTTAAGTGGAAGGCCGACATGACCAACTTTGATGTGGAGGTTCTTTTGAACATCCATGATAATGAAGTCATTGTGGGGATTGCATTGACTGAAGAGAGTCTCCACCGAAGAAATATCACACATTTTGGACCTACAACTCTTAGATCAACTCTTGCCTATGGGATGCTCAGGCTCTGTGATCCTCTGCCTTATGATATAATAGTCGATCCAATGTGTGGAACAGGGGCAATACCAATAGAGGGGGCTACTGAATGGTCTGACTGTTTCCACATTGCTGGTGATAATAACCCACTGGCAGTGAATAGGGCAGCAAATAACATCGCATCTTTATTGACCAAGAGCCAAATTAAAGAAGGCAAACCATCCTGGGGCTTGCCCATAGATGCTGTTCAGTGGGATATCTGCAATCTGCCATTGAGAACTGGCTCTGTGGATATTATTGTAACAGATTTGCCATTTGGAAAAAGGATAGGATCCAAGAAGAGAAACTGGAACCTTTATCCAGCTTGCCTACGGGAGATGAGCCGTGTCTGCACACCTACCACAGGCCGAGCTGTACTACTCACTCAAGACACAAAGTGCTTTACCAAGGCATTATCTGGAATGCGACATGTATGGCGAAAGGTGGATACAGTCTGGGTGAACATTGGTGGTCTTCGTGCTGCAGTTTATGTTCTGTTACGTACACCTGAAGCTTTTGTTCATCCTTCAGAACAAGATGGAGAAAGAGGAACTCTTTGGTAATGCAAAGAATGAAGATGACTAGTAGTACTTGTAGTTCCCACCACTGGAAATGTTAGCATAAAGAACTTAGAGAGAAAAATAGTATCAACAAAAGTGCAGTCTGCACTCTTTAATAAAACCTGTTCAAGGCAAAAAAAAAAAAAAAAAAAAAAACAGAAAAAAGAAAAAAGAGGAAGGAGAACTGCTCTCTCTCTCTCTCTTCTGTCTCTCCCGCTCTCCCTGGAAGGGAACTTAAAAAGGTTGTGTACCTGTGGTATAGATTTAAAATGGGAAACAAATTCATTTTTTGCAAATATTTCACTTAGATGATTATAATGGCATTGTACTTGATATTTAAGGAAATTATGATTTGTATTTTTAAGCCACTTTTTTTCTGGAAGAAATATGTGGAAACAAGATTACAAAAACATTTTCTTTTTTTCTAGAGAGAGAGAAGAGAAAGAGACTCCTGAATGGGAATTCCAGCCTGGAATGGGAGTGCACCAAATTTTATAGGCAGGCTTGAGGAGGTGGTATCTGATTTACATAGGGCCCACAGATTGGCAGGACCAGGTGTGATGTTTATTTACATAGTACATAGGGAAGGCTGGCCACCCCACCCTAATCTTTTTATGCAAATGGGCTTTCCATGTGACTGGCACCATGTTGTCTGCACCTTGCTGTACAGGTGGCTGGCAAAGAGAAGTGAAGATGGAGCCGCCATTTTGAATATGCCTAGTCCCAGGAAACCTTTTCCTGTTGGTACAGCTGCCAGTATTCACTAGCGCAAGCTTCCAACTTGCTTGTCTGTCTGCAGCTCAGTTTTACAGGCTACTCTTTGTTAGAAAGGGAGATGATTTCGGTGCAGCTTTTCATTAAAGAAAAACCTCACCGAGGACTTCCGTATCCTATCTGCCTAAATAATTCCTTTTTAACTCCTATATATGTATCTTTCTAAATCTTCTAGGTGAGTTTAGGGATTCGGATGATTAGCAAGGTCTGGGACCAACTACTACCAGAATATAAATTCTTGAGAACCAAGGGCTTATAGGAGTTTATTAAATGATGTTGCATGATTAGTTATACCAAGAAAATTTACATGTAAAATGTATTTACATGTAAAATGTAAATACATTTTACATGTAATGTAAAAGTTTACATGTAAAATGTAAAATTTGCATGTAAAATGTACTTAAAAAGAGAATATGATCATCAGTTTACATTATTGTAGATATCGATTTCAATTATTTACACAATTTTATTTTCAATAAGGGGTTGCTATTCTATTCTGTATGGTATTAGAGAAACAAAAGTTTTTTGTTGTTGTTTTTTGTTTTTTTAGTATTAACAGAACTTTTGAAGAATTTATACAGCTTTATTTTGTAATCAACTTCAAACATATGCTACAATTTCCAGTGGACCTTAAATAATGTATCATAAACCTTACTATCAAGAAAATGTTAAGATGTAGGGGGACTATTCTAACCATTCATTTTATGTTTGTGCTTTGTTATATTAGATGTTTGATAAATTGTTATGAACATGTGAACTGAATTTTTGAGAGAATTCCATATTACAGAGGGACTTTATCAAATCTTTCAGAGTTTAGAACAGTGGCCTCTGCATACATTTTTGCCAGACACCCTAATAGAACATATAAAATAGAAAGAGTACAACTTCTTGTGCTTGAATAGGTAAAGGGATTTTTTCAGATCAAAATGATGTCGTTGTTCTAAGTCTCAAAATGATTTTCTGATACTTTTGATTAGTGTTTCCTTACCATGTTTGTTGTCTAGCTAAAGTTATTTCCCTAATTTTTAATACTATAAGTGGAAGATGAAAAATAAATTAAGGGGACAATCTAAAGAAAATGGCAAGAACCCTCAGGGAAAAAAAATGGATGAACATAAAATGATCTCAGTTTAAAAGAACATTGAAAAGAAGCTCTAAGATGTTTCTCTGCAAATCAAATTTTTGCTTATCCTTAACCTTGCCTCTAGCTGCTTGAAATTCCGTTTAAGCAATTTTTCTGTGGAATGTTGATAAAATCTGTAACTATAACCATTTGACTACTGAAATCAATTCATTTCAGATTTACTTTTTCATAATGATAGCATTCTTGAATGCAGTCAGCATACAATTAAAACAGTACATGGACATACAATCTTCTAGAATCTCATTTTTAAATATTCTTTTGTTAGCTTTTTTGTTTGTTTGTTTTTTTGAGACAGAATTTCGCTCTTGTTACCCAGGCTGGAGTGCAATGGCGCGATCTCGGCCCACCGCAACCTCCGCCTCCTGGGTTCAGGCAATTCTCCTGCCTCAGCCTCCTGAGTAGCTGGGATTACAGGCACGCGCCACCATGCCCAGCTAATTTTTTGTATTTTTAGTAGAGACGGGGTTTCACCATGTTGACCAGGATGGTCTCGATCTCTTGACCTTGTGATCCACCCGCCTCGGCCTCCCAAAGTGCTGAGATTACAGGCTTGAGCCACCGCGCCCGGCCTTTGTTAGCATTTTTTAAGGGATTTTAAATACATTGGCTTTAAATTTCCTCCTTTTAGTTAGTTAGACAAGATGAGTGAATTAAAGGCTGATTCTAGCCACAACTCTAAATTAGTTCCCCTCACTTGCAGGTTTGCATAACCCTTTAAAATTATTTACAAATATTTTCTGTAGTTTGACTATGTTTTTTCAAGAATCCATACTTAAATGTCATGTGTGTGTTTAGGGAATTTGACAGCAATGTGGTTTGTTGTCACAGTTGCTTTAACTTTATTACAAGCCATTTAAAACACATTTGAAAATATTTTTGTAATTTCTCATTTCTATGTGCATGTGTGGATTTTTGTTTTGTTTTGTTTTTTGAGGTAGAGTCTTGCTCTATCACCTAGGCTGGAGTTCAGTGGCCTGATCTTGGCTCCCTGCAACCTCTGCCTCTTGGATTCAAGTGATTCTCCTGCCTCAGCCTCTCAAGTAGCTGGGACTACAGGTGCCTGCCACCATGCCCAGCTAATTTTGGTTTGTTTGGGTTTTTTTAGTAGAGATGGGGTTTCTCTGTGTTGGCCAGGCTAGTCTTGAGCTCCTGACCTCAGGTGATCTGCCCACCTCAGCCTCCCAAAGTGCTGGGATTACAGGCGTGAGCCACTACACCCAACCTGTGTATATATTTTTTTTTTTTTAACAAGCAAAAGTATGAGCCTCCTTGGTAATTCTGTTTCTTACTGCTCTTCATCATTTCTCTGCCCAAAATTCTTGCTGTTTCTTGTACAAACTTAGTAATTTCCTGACCACATGCCTTTGCTTTGGCCACTTCTTGTTTTTAGAATCCTAACGTTAGCCATGGTCAAGTCTTACCTGTCTTAAAGAGCCACATATAAAAAAGGAAATTAATTCTTTATTGTAGTTGAAGTAACTTTGCTGTCCTCCAAACTCTTTTTTGTATTACCTTTTTTTCTTAGATACCTAATACTTTCTATCTTGTATTTATTTATGTACATATTATCTCACCAGTAATACTTTAGACTCTATTAGCAAATGACCTGTAGTGTTGGGAAAAAGATGTTAATATGTATAGTGCTTAAAATAATGATATACTTTAGATGTTCAATAAAAGCAAACAAAAACATATTGTATAAAAGTTGAAATATATAATCATTACACATTGTATACATGTACCAGAACATTATACTGTACCCTATAAATAAGTGTGATTATGTGTCAATTAAAAACAAAATATGACTTAATAAAAAAAGAGAAATATATATAGTTCTTAACAGAGTAATAATTGGTTTACTGACCTTGGTTCTGCTGGTAAGTGAATAAATCTCTTCATTTCAGAGTGATAAGGAATTATGAATTGCTTTCACCTTCAGCAGTTTCTAATTGGTGCTACCATGCTGAGAAGGAGAGAGGGTCAGTCTGTAGCCAGGAATGAAGAGGAGGAATGCAGTAAGCCCTTTTCTGGTCTAGGTGGATACCAGAATGATAGGACAGGGCATAACATTTAGGCTTCTAGGTGGCATTCAGACCTCTGTGTTAGCTGTGATCTGCAATCATTTATAAAATTTGAAATGGTAACAGTTACACCCAAAATCATAATTTTGCCTCCAAAAGAAAGACAATCAGGAATTAGCCATGACAGAATCTCAGCTTCCTAACTTAGCTTCAGGACTTAGGTACTGGAGAACTGGACAGAAAGTCTAGTAAGTAGAATTAATTAACATAGTGGGGTGGAGATTGGCAGTAATGAGTAAAAGAAGTGTTAGAGGGATGTTACAGTACTATACTTGCATCAGTGCCCAAAAGAAGAGGGAGAACCTGGGAAAAAAGACTGAGAAGGAGCAGTCTTCATGTTGGAATAACCCAGGGCTCAATCCTTGGTCTTACTTTCTTTTTTATCTTAACTCTTTTTTGTTGTTGTTTGGTGACCTCATTAAGTCACAAGGCTTTAAATACCATTTAGTAGGCTAGTGACTCCAAAAATACATATGCAGTTCTGATCTTTATCCCACATTTCAGATCCGGTTGCCTACTCGACATCCCCATTTGAAGATATAACCGATATCTTAAATGTAATAGGTCCCAAAGTTCTAATTCCTGCCACCACCTCCTAACCCCCACCTCAGCAGCCTGCAGTATTTTAGACAATCTCAGTTGATGGCATTTTGTCATTCCAATTAGTCAGATCAAAACTTTGATGCCATCCAGAGTCCTCTTTTTGCGTCACTCATAAGTCCAGCCTGTCAGGAAATTCTGTTGTCACTACCTCTAAAATATCTTCTGTTTCCAGCAAGTTCTCACAACCTCTACTGCTAACACTGTGGTTATAGGCGGTCATCATCTTTACTGCATGGTCTTCCTAATTGGTCTCCTAGTGTTTGTTCCCCTTAGTTGATAATTTGACTGAAATTGATTTTAGATTGTTTTGCAATATCTGTAATGTGAAATCTCACAGTTTTGAATAGTATCTTTTGGTAAGGGAAAGATTGTTCTTTCCCTTGTCTGTTCTTTTCTAGCTAGAGTGTGTGTTG